TTTTGCAAGTGAAGTTCGCACCCTCATTGTGAGGAGGGCTTAGTCCCAGCATTGTTGTATTTTGCAGACAAGCCTTACAGAGGAGCGTGGGAAGTGTTGGCCCTGGCAGAGGCAAGAAGTGTTTCCTTCGTGCAGTAGTAATGTAGTTTCACCAGCACATCTCAGGGGGGGACACCATATGCTTTCTTGCGTTTTATTTCCAAGCGTTCAACCGGAATGTCAGGAGCTAATTTCTGGAATAACGTGGTCGGCATTGAGAACAGGTCAGTGATGTGCTCCGGGAGTCCCCGAATGTGCAAGTTGAAGCGGTGGGACCGGTTTTCCAAGTCCTCCAATTTGGATAGGTGGATTCGGTTTTCCTCTCGAAGGGAACCAACATCCTTATCGAGAACAACTTTGCCCGAAAGATCGTCATACTTGCCTTCCAAGGTCGCAGTGCGTTGTCCGATTTCGCATATCTCTTTTAAAAGGCTATCAGCGATTTGCTTGGAAGTAAATTAGAGAGTATTTTGTAGCATGACATCAAACTGCTGGAGCAGGGCAGAATGCGAGCGTCTCTGGGGACGGGTATCCTCCACATGTCCTTCCTCCATGTTGTTGCTAGAAGCTGCCTGGGGTGACGCCGCATGAGATGAGAGGCTGCACCATCTTGGCTGAGGCCCCAGTCAGAGCCTCTGCAATAGGCTTGCCTTCGGATTTCTGACCCCCCTGGGACGCCGAGTGAGGCATGGTTGGCTTCTGGGTGGTTACCGGAGAAAGAGAGCTTCGGTCTGGCAGATGGGGAATTCCCAGCTCTGTGCTAATGAGGAGTTTGCCAGGGTAGAAGCAGATCCGTCTCAAAAACCTACTGTCATCGACAGCTGCGCGCATGCGATCTCTAGCATGCAATTTTTTACAGGGTGAGGAAGCATGGACAGTATATGCGCACCTTAAACTGCACTGCAAGGTCCATTACAATTAAAGATATATCTAGACCTATTAGAAAGAAAATTAGAACTCAGTAAGTAAACTCAGTAAGTGGCCTGCTAAAACCAGTGAAATAATTCAAAGGGACTCAACAACAAACAACAGCACAATAATCCTATGACACATAAATAATCTGATTATTTAATTTATATGAACAAGAAGCTGTCATTGTTTATGCCATTTATACCATGGAACTAGGGTTCCATGGTACCTTAGGAATCTTCCATCTGGGGGTCTCTTTGAGCAGTAGGTGGTGGCTGATTGATCTTCCACATGACAGTGACTATATAGCTCTGGCTCTGTCACTCAGCAGAGGCATTATACCAGTGATAAGCACTACACTGACTAGCAGTATAAAAGGGTGTTCTTTCCCCTGACCACCAATACAACAGCACATTTTTTCCACTAACCACCAATATAACAATGCCTTCTTTCCATTGACCACTAATATAATACAGCATTCATTCCATTGACCACTAGTATAGCAGGGAGGGCATTTTGTTTCTACTGATCACATGTGGAAGGATTTTCTCCTACTAACCATCAATGTAAAGAGGTCCTTCTCCCACTGATCACCAATGTAAAGTTGCATGTATCCACTATCTGTACAAATTTTTCCTGTGCTTTTTTTCTTACGATTTTCATTCATTTTGTTTCATTGCTGAAAATAATTTTGTCATATAGAGGAAGGGGCTGCTGAATAATGAACCATTCCGGGTATCAAATATTGAACCTTTCGATAATCGGGGCAGGATGGGGCCGTCGTACGAAAATCGTACGACTGTTCGATCATCGGACGAAAAGTTTCGTCCGATAATCGTAAGGTGTATGGGCACCTTAAGAGAAAATGGAAGCACATCACATGCTCAGGGCAGAGGGAGATACATTTTACAGCTGGAATTAATATGAAATAACAGGTGACTGTAACGATACATTGCTATTTAGCTTTTAATCAGACTTATCAAATTTGCAGGGTACGAGGCTGTCGTGATCATGGATTTACTACATCGTTCAAGCAATGACATAGATCAAGCATGCGGGTAAAGGTGGCCATACACCTGCTGATTATCGTAGGATAATCGCGGGAAATCCCGCGATCGTGCGATAATCGGCAGGTGTATGGAAGGCGTGCAACCGTTTCTACTGTACGCTCGCACGTCTTTTGTCTTACGAGCACGTTGGAAAACCAGCTGAAAAGCGTAAGATTTTCTGCGGGTTTGTGGCGTGCTCGTAAGACAAATGCCACACGGGCCGGTGTGCGCAAGCGCACACTGCCCGCTCAGCATTGCAGTCATTGGAAGCCCTCCCCTCAGCGGGGCGGGCTTGCGATGATCGCAAGTACGATCTGCATGTCCAAGATGGGCAGATCGTACGAGCTTTCAATTACCTTACAACCCTCGCAAGACGAAAGTCGTGCGATTGTTGTAAAGTGTATGGCCAGCTTTAGTCACTACTACTTAAAATCAGGATGAGAGCACTGTAGCCAGCACCTTTGAAAAACAAATCATCGTTACAGGTTCCAACTAACCAACTTTTAACTGGGCAAAGAAAATAAAAAAGTCAGAGTACGTAGCTTTGTTTACAAAGCTCTGTTCTTTTTCTGTGATTGTACTAAAGGAAGTAGCTCCTGCACAGTAGGACATTTATTTGTATCCATTAAAATGAAATATCCATTTAAATTCATGACAAGTTACACTTCATCCATAGTAATGTAATTAATTATTTCATATTTGTTTCGTCATATAAAAAGTAAAAACAGACATCCTGTAGATAATGTTTTGCATAAGAATAAACAAGAACGTATTAGTGTATAACTTCCATAATTATACAGATATACTAACACACAGATTTGGTGCAAACACAGGAAAAAAAGTCAAAACAAGTGAAATGAGGGTCAAGGTCGGGCCATGACGAAATGCTATGGGAATTATGTGGGGAATGCCTCAGAATTCTTCAGCTCTGATTGCTGCTGTCCTGACAATTTTAGAGGCGAAATACCACAAATCGATAGTGTGAAGGATCAGTAACAGCAGTTTAATGTAAGGGCATAAGGGATTCAATGCACAGAAGATAAGGTGCAATGAATCCAGGCAATAAGTGTCCATTAGAAATGATACCTATTACAACAATTTAAAGTGTTTTATTAAAAATCCCAGAGTATATGATCATATGACAGTTCAGAAAAACTTACACAACATGTAGACTCCCCAAGGAGGGTTGTATGAAAGTTATTACATTCAACAGAGATCACTACTGATATTTATTAATTGATTATTCTGGTTACTGGTGTATACTGTAAATACTTGAAGTCTCTCGAATATACTTACAGCAGTAAATGCGTTGCGGTAAATGTTAAATTTGAACTTCACTTTTTGAAAAATAATGTTTTATATATTTACAAGCTTCTAATTTCACAGTGAACAAAAATCTCCATTTTAGTTAGAATGTACAAACATTTAGGGGTCTATTTAAATTTTTTTTTGCATTGTTTATTTATCCAGCGAAACTGCATAAAAATTTGTTTGGTGTGAGTTAACCACCTATTGTGAAAATGAGGCAAAAGTTAAAGTTCTTAGTGTAATTTCTCTTCTGGTCGTATGTTCTTTAAGGGTCCAATCATACCATATCCAGTGCGTCCCGATGCAGTGCATGCCCAGAATGCACTGGTTCGCATACATGAAGCCGTTCTGGGGTGGGAGGGGCGTGTCGGTGCCATTCATGTCAATGGCATTGCAGACACGCCCCCCGTCCGCAGTGAGATCGACCACACCGGAATGTGAGGTACAGGAGTGCTCTCTGTTCCAGTGCAGTGCGATCTGAAAAAATGCTGCATGCACTATTTTTTCAGATCGCACTGCAGTAAAACAGTGCAGGACAGAGTGAAAGGAGAAAATTATTGTATTATGGCCACTAGATGGAACTGAGGATGATAATAAATACATGTTGGTAAGGAGATACAATGTTATAATTCAACAGACCACTGGAGGGAATGAGCATATATATGTAACCATTGATACAAAGGGCAGATGTTACAGCGGGCCACAGCCCCATTTACCTGCCAGCCCTGAGATTTCCCAACTGGCAGCTGAATTTAAACAAAGGGAGTGCATGCTGGCTGATATAATGTCAGCTAGTATCTTCTGCCCCTTTGTTTACATCCAGCTGTCAGCCAGAATCTTCCAGCCAGAAGCTGATTGGGGCCAGGGCTGCGCAGCCGACAGCCTCTAAGCAATCATTGACAATGCTAAGTGGGCGGATCCTGATGGGGATGCTACGGTACTAATTCCCCAACAGTCAGCTCTGTTACTGATAGAAATAATAATGTCACCAGCACTCCAAAGGTTTAGTGAAGCAATAATCCATTTATTGGCACATTGCCATTCAATTGAATGGCAATGTGCCAATAAATGGATTATTGCTTCACTAAACCTTTGGAGTGCTGGTGACATTATTATTTCTAGCGTATCTCTTCACGGCGCCATCTGTGGCCACTACAAGCACCCACCCATCCACACTGGTCTTCCTTTGACTCCGGTAAGGAGTGCAGCAAGAACTTCTTGATTTCTACCTCTGTTACTGATTCACAGCAAGCAGTGGGTGGAATCTATAGCTAATAGACAGCCTGCTATTGGCTATGGAATTTGCCCATTGACAGTCAGCAGCAGAATGGACCTCATGGGGAACTAATACTTCAACATACCCATCATGCTCCGCCCAACCAATGAATAAGTCCTCGGCTGCTGTGTCTGTATGACAGGTACAGCAGCTGGGGAGGGAGCTCAGTAATGCCGAGACTGTAATTTTATTAGGCTCAGTGTTACTGAGCTGCACCAAGCATGTAGTGTCTGGTCTGTCCAGATGCACGTCAGAATTCCAAAGAGTGTCATAGACACTCTTTATGAATGCCCCCCATACACACATACAATTACAAACTATACACAGTAACAAGGCATATAAAAAAACACTTTTCACATTAAGTTCATGTTTTACATTTACAAATAAAAATAGCTAAAAAAAAACTAAACTTTTCTTACCAGATGCAACAACTGTGCTTGCCCACAGTGTATGTTCAATGCCAAGGCTTTCATGTATAGCTGGGTCAGTATCTTCCTGTAAGACAAAATTATATTAAACACATTAGAAGCACATTTAAATTCCTTATAGTACAACTATAATGGTTTTTAAAGCGACACTATGCAACTTATTGGGGTTAATTTACTAAGGCAAATATACTGTTCACTTTGCAAGGGAGTTCTCCCTTAGCTTAGTAAATGTGGTGAAAATTTTATTTGCAAAGAAAACAAAAAAAATAAATATGTTTACTTGCACATGATTGGATGATAGAAGTCAGCAGAAATTCACCTCATTCACTAAGCTAAGGTAACATTATTTTGCAAAGTGAAAATTCCCTTGACGACCCCTCCCTCATCCTATCTACATCTTGTGATTGCAAAGCCTAAATAGGAAAAGCTTCCTCTATGCCCGAATGCTGTCAAAGATGTAGATAACATCTATCAAAAGTGCTCTGTGTGCGCTGTGTGTTGTGATGAAATTATGCCGGCACACATTCTACCACAATCCAGCCTGTTACAGTTGCATTATGAGTTGAATTGCATGTGCAAAACACACACCAGTGCGTGCAAGTAAATCATGCGTGTGGGGTGTTTTAGGACTCACTTATATGGACATAAAGGGTTGTACAGCATCAAGGAGTGTGAACCGGAGCCACAGGTGTCTGGTTTCAGCTGCAGGGAGTAGCCTGTAAAAACCAATGGCAGGCTAATAGCACCACGGCTATATCCATGTAGCCGGAAATCCGAATAGTTAAATGTGTACAGTGATAGATTCGCGGCTCTCAACACAGACAGTTTGTGTCCATCTCTGTATGCATGGTACCCAATGGCTGTGCGGTTACTTGGGTACAGCAATGGTGTATCAGCCTGTCATTGATTTGTACAGGCTTCAGCCAGTGGATGTACACAAACACCTGTGACTCCCAGGAGCAGAAATACCCTACTTTTTGGTGGTCTGTGGCCCGTTATAAGCGGGTGGATGAGGTCTTATTTCTATTATTTCATTTTTTATTCTTTAGCTGTTCTTTTAATATTTTTTACAGTACTGGTATGGGGTTTTGGGAAGCCCAATTTGGGATATTTCCCCTTTGAGATACACAAGGAGATTGAAGACACAGAATCCTCAATGTCCCTTTCCTCTGCAGCTTGAACAAGATGATCAAGAAAATGCTCAGTACAGAGCACTTCCCTGTTCTTTCACAAACTGTGACTCATTGTTTACAATCACTTCAGTTATGAATGAAGAGTATTGATCAGTAGTGATCACTTATTGTGTACATTCAGGAAAGAAAGGGTAGAGAAACATAAGAGATATTCCCCAACCCCTGTTGCTCCGCAACAGCCTGTATACTCCCTTTCCCTCCTGTTTCCTGCTTGCGCCTCTGGGGATGTTTTTTAAAGTCTGTGGGTGGGCTAAGCTTTTGTTCTTCACTGTGACTGGCAGACCAGAGGCTGCGCTGAGGCAGGCTCCGTCTGTGGCTGAAGAGGAAGAGTGACTTAACCCTGATTGTTCTGCTCAATTACTTCTGCTGAGGTGTGATGAGATTCATGGTGTTCTTCCTGGTGTATGCTGTGGAGGTCTGATGGGACATCTAGCTCTAAACTTCTATTCCGTGATTGGGAACTGCTGGGACTTTCTTACTAACTGTGAACTGTTGTTGAGACCCCTTTGTTCCCTCTCTACGTGCTGCCTGCTATCTGGTGTACCTGACACTGTAATCAGGTCACCCCGGAACTTCACACCTCCCAGGACATAGCATGCTCCCTCCAGAAGGACTCTGTAATCCCCTTACTCTGCAGGTCACCCTGCCTGGATGTCCCACAGCCCGGCCAAGCCAACTAGCTGCCCAGGACGGTCAGACGCCTCACGTGAGTTGTTTAATCCTTGTCTTCCATCCCTTGCTACCTGTGATTGCTACCCTATGACCCCGTGGATTTAACCTGTGCTGTGCCTGAGATTGTTGCATTGTGTCCCTTGACTCCATCCTTGCTGTGTCTTATTGCAGTTAACCCTTTATTGTGCCCAGATTGCTGCGCTGTGCCCCTGGACTTTACCCATGCTGTCCCTTGCTGTTAGCCCTTTGTTTTGCCCAAATTGCTACTACAATTGCCATATCCTATTCTTGAGAACCCCTAATAAATAACACCCCTGGCCAAGGGACCTAAAAACTGCTCTTATTTTCTGTGCATGCTCTGTTTCCTTCCCACACTTCCGTCACATAAGGCATACTGACCAAGTCAGCTTTAAGCGGTTCTGTTCCAGCGTATACCTTACAATGGTGGCAGGGAAAGTGTTAAATCTGTATTACAATAATACACTTTATTTAAAATATCTGGTCTGATTTATCAAAGGAAATGGTGCAAACAAAAAGCAGTGCTTCTGTACAGAGCACACAGATCATGTATTAGCTGTGGAAAATTGCACATGACAGCTGGAATTTTACTGGCTGTTCTAACTTTTGTGCAGGAGCAATTGCTACTTTAATGCAATCAATTATGAATCTGTAACTTGTAATGATATATTTCACATCTGCTTAAACGCAATATCTTTACCGTTTGCTTCTTTAGTTTTGCAACTAAATAAAAAAATTAATTTTATATCATCATATTTAAGGGTCATAGTGATTTAAACCGTATCAATTTAGCAACAGGTAAATCTTTCTGTGTAAAAGTGAAACTGGCACAGCTGGTGTGATAAAGAAGCAGTTAAACAAGTTGTGCCTACTTCAAGTTCTTTAATAATCATCTTAATTAGTTGCTGCTATTTAAGTTACATTGGATTAGACAAAGAGCAATCACAATTAATTGGTGGGGAAAGGATACCAACTGCTTGTTCAAGTGCATGCAGTATAAACAATCTACTTCTTGCACATACACCTATATTTGTTTTCAGTCTCTTTTGGCATCCAAAGTCAGTCTGCCAGCATATTTCCTCTTACGATTACTGCGACAAAATACATTTGACGCAGAAGTGAGTACATTTACTACGTGCCTTTACTTAAAGGAGAACTATGAGGTGAGTGATTTCCACTCATCCATAGTTAGAGCCGAACTGTGATAAAGAATCTGTCACCGGTCGGCTCTGGCACAGGGGGAGGGGGCTGGCACAGCTGGCTTTGCCTCTTGATAGGCAGAGCCAACCATCACTCACACAGCTGGGTGGATCTCGACAGTATTGTCAGGATCCGTCCCGGCTGCGGCGCTCTACCGTGGCTCTTTGGGTCACGGGAGGAGGTTAGTATATGTCTTCCCGTGACCCTCAAGAGAACTATGGGGAAAAACACTTACACTATAGTTCTCTTTTAAGCAGGAGCCACTGCTAGTTCCCAGCTTACCAGACTCATGGTACAGACTACTATTCTATTTGGATGTATGCATTACTCCCAAACCTTTAGCTAATTGTCAGTTTAAACCTTTCCTGCCATGGCCGCAAGTACTACGTTCATGGCAGCACAGTCATGTAAACGTTCTCCCAGCTGCTACAGTGCCCAGGACCTCCATGGCAGGTGTCAGGTTGGAGAGCGGTAGGAGATGAGTATAAATCAATTTGCTTATCTTACCTGTAAAAAATGAACCTGGATTTCAGAGCTGACAATCTCTGGCCGGGGATGAAGCTAATCAAGCACAGCCTGCGCTTGTATAGCTTTAAAAAAAAGTGACATTAGAGGTCTAATAGACCCATAATGTCTCCTCATAGAGGACCTGTAACCTTGCTGTGCTATCACATAAGGACGTAAAGTTAAATAAAATACATACAAAAAAAATTAATTAAAGCCCACCCCTGCACACAGAAAACTGATGAGCTATAAAAGCTTTTAAAAAATCGCCTATGGACAATTTTGGGTAAAGAGGTTTTTCAACATTTCACGGACACACACAATTTTAAGCTTAACATATTTGGTATCTACTTGACGTAACCTCATCTTTTATACTTTATCACAAAATTGGGTATTATATGGCTCTGGCAATGGAAGGTTTAAGGACTTAAGAAATAAGTGTTGAAAGTTTCCTTTTATCAATTAACAAAATGGAAAGTAAATAAACAGAAGAGAAATCCAAATCGGCAACTCGGCAGGTAGGCTGTTCCAAACACCTGGGAGAACTAACCACAGTTCTTCTGTGGATGCAGGCTACCTCCCTGATGGTATGGCATAATGGATAAGTATCTGCTTGTATTTCTCAGCATTGAGGGCACCATTGATTCTTACCAAATCTCCAACTCCATTTGCAGAAATGCAACCCCAGACTTGCAAGGGACCTCCACCATGCTTCAATGTTGCCTGCAGACACTCATTATTGTACCGCTCATCAGCCATTCGGTGAACAAACTGCCTCCTGCTACAGCCAAATGCATCCCAGTAACTATGTTTTTGTGCATAGTTGAGTCGCTTTGCCTTGTTTCCACATGGGAGGTATGGCATTTTGGCCACAATTCTTCCAAGAAGGCTCCTTCTGGCCAGTCTTCTCTGGATGGCACTGCTGGACATCTTCCAATGTCGAAGGGAAGTAAGAATGATGTGTCTTTCATCTGCTGCATAAGTTTCCTTGGCTGACCACTGCATCTATGGTCCTCAACGTTGCCCGTTTCTTTGTGCTTCTTCAAAAGAGCTTGAACAGCTCATCTTGAAACGCCAGTCTGCTTTGAAATCTTTGCCTGGGAGAGACTTTGCTGATGCAGTATAACTACCTTTTGTCTTGTTGCTGTGCTCAGTCTTGCCATGGTGTATGACCTGTGACATGAAACGGTCTTCTACAACCTCACCTTAGTAACAGAGTTTAGCTGTTCCTCATCCAGTTTAAAGCCTCCTACACAGCTGTTTCTGTTTCAGTTAATGACTGTATTTCAACCTACATATGAAATTGAGGATCATTGACACCTGGTTGGTATAATTGATTAATCATACACCTGATGCTAATCCTACTAAAATCCCTGACTTTGTGCAAGTGTAAGAACCGATGCTGGTTTGAAGCCAAAGGGTAGTCACACAAAATATTGATCTGATTTAAATTTGTCTTTGGCAACAATCAAAATTCTTT